GTTGCTTGTCGCGGGTCCCCCCCCCCCCCCCCCCACGGGCAGGCCTCTATTCAGGGAAAATTCATCTGGCCCCTACCCAGAGTGGGGTTAGTTCAGCCCACTTCAGAGAATTCTTTAATTCCATGAGCACAGAATGGATTGATATTTTAAACAAAGCCAGTGGAAAAGCAGGACGCTGTTGCTGGGACTGTAGGGTTAGACGCTGATCTCTCTTTCATATGCTACTTCTTTAGGTTCTGTCGGCCTCTATTCAGGGAAAATTCATCTGGCCCCTACCCAGAGTGGGGTTAGTTCAGCCCACTTCAGAGAATTCTTTAATTCCATGAGCACAGAATGGATTGATATTTTAAACAAAGCCAGTGGAAAAGCAGGACGCTGTTGCTGGGACTGTAGGGTTAGACGCTGATCTCTCTTTCATATGCTACTTCTTTAGGTTCTGTCTTTCTGGCAAATCTTAAAGAGCCCTGAAATCTCTCCTCCTCTTGAAGCTGGAGGCGGCGGCGGCTGGCTCCCTGAACTTAGTAGGAGAGCCTGAGAGTGCAGCGTTATTTACATGATTTCCTTCCCAAGACACAAGTGAGCTACTTACCACAAGCCAACCTGACCTCTCATTTGTTTAGGCTGCAAGCATGAGTGAGTGGAAGGTTGTGGGAAACTAGTGGAGGGCTCTGGCAAGTCTTTTCCATAAGGTTCTAGTTAATGGGAGTGACAAGTATGGACTAGTCCAGGGCTATGTCTAGACTTCGGAGTTTTTCCGGCATACTGGAGGTATCCTGGAAAACTCTGCCAGGTCCAGGGAATGTGTCTGCTCTTCCAAAATATTTTTTGGAAAAGCAGACGCGCTCTTTTGGAATCCCTATAAACCTCGTTTCACAAGGAAGAAAGGCTCTTGCAAAAGAGGAGTTTTTTTCCAAAATTTGGCCCAGTGTAGACAGGTTAAATTTTGGAAAAGCCGCTTCCAAAAAAAGAATCGGATAAAGGTACGCAAATGGCAGAGCGCAGTTTGCGTAACTTTTTCCTCCCCCAAAAAAGCAGCAGTCTAGACGTAGCCTGGAGGCCCTTCCTCTGATTGCTTTTTCCCTTTGCCAGCCAAAGAACGTGGACTTGAAAATGCTGCACTTCCTTCCTCCCCACAGTGTTGCATAGTAATAAGAGTTGGGAACAGTTGACATATTTCAGGAGCCAAATACACCAGCAAAGCACGTTAAGACTGTGAGTTCTTTGGGGCAGAGACTGTTTTTTCTCTGTGTTTATCCACAGCCGAATGCCATGCCCGGGGCTCCCATGAGCTACTGCAATGCAAATAAGCAGCAATAAGAATGACAGGTTTGGTAGAGATGGATTAGGGATGGTGAGGCATTTTCTTGCCCCATCCTTGTTTTCAGGGGCTTAAACACACACACACACACGCACGCACGCACGCACACACACACACACGCACGCTCTTTGGGGTCTTAATGTTTATGCATGTTTGCAGGCACAATGTCATTGGAATGATTGCTAAACTCCCAGCTGGCTGTAACCAGAGTCCTGGTGGAAACCCCTTGACTCTGTCTAGTTCTACCGTAGGTGCAAAGACTTCTCCCCCCTCTGGCAGAAGCGGTGTTGCAGTTTTCCCTGCAGAATTCAAGGGAGCACAGAAATCCTGCCGCTCCCCTTTCTGTGCTCGGGCAGCCCACCCTCCTCAGAAGGAAATGGTCTCACACCATAAATATGTTAAGAGCTCAGGGAGGCTGGTGTGCGTGTTTTGCTGCTCTTATGGATCTTGCCCCCAAAGGGGAGTTCTAATAATAGACCCTGTACTGTGGAACAAAAGGGCAAGGGCTGATTCTTAAAAGAAAGCTGTTTTAATAGAAGAAATTGTGCAAATTCACTCATGGCCCTGCCGGGTATTACAGGGGAAACGAAGCAGGATGAGATACCCGTAGAGAGCAGCTGACCACACGTCCCTTCTCCCCTACAGGCCCACATTGCTGTGCTGCTAGAAAAGTTGCATCCTCTCGTAAGATTGATCAGCATCACCATTTCCTTCAGATTCACAGCTTCATGACTTGGTAGAATTTCAGGCCAGAGGGTGATCGTATCTCCCATGTAGAACAGGCCACTGAGACGGAGGCCCCTCATCCCTTTCACCTTCCTGTCATTTATCCTTATCACACTTGGCCCCGATGCAAAGTTGGCCCAAACTCAGCCTTCTGCACCACACCTTCCGATCCACCCAGCCTGGAAACACCATGTTTCCTCCCAGATCTCTGACTTCAGGGCTGGCCTTACTCAGAGGCAAAATACACAGCTGTGCAGGCACCTGAAAATTTGAGGCACCACTGGGTCTTAATGTCCACCCAGCTGCCTCTTCCTCTCCCTGGCCTGTGGCTCTGCTTCCTGTGGAGAGGATCTAGGTAACTTTGCAGTGACAAAGCCTGCCAGAATGATTAGCAGAACCTGTGAAAGAGCCATTCAAATGGTAATGAAGCCATTTACCAAGCATTTGCCAACCCCAGGTCTACACCCTCTGTTTGCTGTGTTAGCCCACAGGACCTTCGTTTAAAAATTTGCTTTTTCATTAGTATGTGGCTGAAGATTATAAAATCACAGCTCTAAAAAATTGTCCCCCCTCGGCTACTATCAGGCATAGGGGCGCTAGTAATAGGAATAAATCCTCAGCCCATAATGCCTAAGAGCAGCCCTGTCTAATGTCTCTCCTCCTGTCATCACAGTCAACTTCCCATTCCCACTGCCAAAAGGAGCTGTGCCGTAACTGGGTCCGGGGACCGTCATGGTGGAACTTGTCCCCACCCCTGTCTCCCAGCCCAGTTGATGTTGTGGTGCAAAGGGAGCCTTCGTGAACTGGACCTGGGAGCAAGCTCTGGGTTCCCTGGGTGAAAGGAGCTAGAGATGCACAAAGCAGGGTCGTTCCATGTGGCTGCTCGAGGGGGAGAAGTTTTGGCAGGGAGCAAAGCATCATTAAGCCTGGTGGGCTGGAGGAAGTTCAGCCGCTGGGAGGTTGAGGCCTTGGTGTTTGCAGGTGCCGCCTGAGCCTCCGATTCAACACAGCCCTTTCGCACGTGTGTCAGTGTGTGGCTGAGTCAGGGCCTAAATAGTGCAAAAATCAGCCATGGTGATCAGGGTTGTCCCGAAGGAAGTGCAGGGCCTGGGGCAACCTCCCTCCACCCCAGAGGCCCCGGAACAGGGACTGGGGCAACACACCACTGCAGGCCTCAGCCAGCCACTTCCCTAAGCCCTCTCCCATCCCCTCCATCCCTGAGCAACGCAGACCGGGGAATAATGGGGGGGAGGGCTGGTGCAGCCGGGGTCCCCCTCCCCACTGCGGAGTTGGGACCAGAGTGAGCCGACAGCCTGCTATGCTCTGCCCCGCCACACCACCCTCCCGGCCTGCTGCGCCCGCTTCTTCGTGGTGGCGGGACACAGCACGTCCTGGAGCAGGGGCGCTCTGCTTTCCACTGCCACAGAGAAGCAGGGCACAATCAGCTGGGAGGGGGCAGCGGAGCCAGCCACTGGGTCACGCCGGCTCCCGCTGCTGCAGTGAATGCGGGGGGCGGAGTGGGGCGAGGCGATTCCCGCTGCTGGTGTATCAGACCCCTAGCCCCAGGTAAACCTGCAGGCGCTATCCATAGGACACGGTCGGGGTGGCCACTGCAGGGCCTCCAAAAGTGCCAGGCCTGGGTTGGCCACCCTTAGCTGTCCTACGGACGGGATGGCTGATGGGGATAGTACATATCAAAGCCTCCCCCCCAGCCAGTGCACCCTTGGTCACTGGTACCGTGCTCCTGAGCACCAAAGCATCCAAGCACTAAGGAGGCGCTGCCACAAGGCACTGGGCTTCCAACTCCCAAACCACATCACGATCCCCTTAAAGCCCCTCGGCCATCATCCAGCGCATCACCCCCTCCGAGCCCCCTGGCCATCACTCCCCCAGACAACAGCAGCATGTAAGGGTATGTCTACACTACCCTCCTAGTTCGAACTAGGGTGGTAATGTAGGCATACCGCACTTGCAAATGAAGCCCGGGATTTGAATTTCCCGGGCTTCATTTGCATAAGCCGGCCGGCGCCATTTTTAAAAGCCGGCTCGTTCGAACCCCGTGCCGCGCGGCTACACGCGGCACGGGCTAGATAGTTCGAACTAGCTAGCTATTCCGAACTATCTGTACACCTCATTCAAATCCCGGGCTTCATTTGCAAGTGCGGTATGCCTACATTACCCCGTTAGTTCGAACTAGCGGGGTAGTGTAGACATACCCCAGGGGATTCAGAAAGGCCTTTCCTCTTGGTTTTCCTGCTGTCCCAAGGACACTGAGCTCAGACCACAAAAGTGCATACGAAGAAGGGACAGGAGTTTCCCTTCTCAAGAGAGGTCAGATAACCCAGACCCTGCATGGTCTCCATAGGCCAGTGCAGCTAGGTGGGCTGAACCATCTGCCCCAGCAGGCAGGCGAGTGTTCCAGGGGGAACTTTCAGAGCCGGCGGCAGTTCCGGGGTGGGAGAGGCCCGGTGGAGGTGTTAGCTCCCAACTGCCAGGTATTTTCAAAGGGGCAGGTAGCTGTAGCTCCCGACAATGCGACTGCGTTTGCTTCAGCTCCCACTCCCGGCTCCCTGGGAGTGTGAAAGGACCCGGTTCTCAGGGCGCACAAATCTGGCAGGGGAGAGGAGTCTACATCTAGGTGGGAATGTCCCCTGGGGAACACCAGCTGTGCAGAGGGCCTCCCTGCCTGCTGCAGAGCTGACATACGCCCTGTTTCAGCCTCTCACCTCCCGAGAGTGTGTCCAGGGTGTGCATTTGCCCTGTGGTGCCCAGGACCCATGGGAAGCAGAGTACAAACTACAGCAGCCCAGGGGCTGTTCTAACTTACACCCTGGATCAGGCAGGGTCCTACATAGCCCCAGAATACAGGGACCACAACGGTGGTTTAAAGCTACCGCTCCTCCTCATCAACCCTCCATCCCTGGCCTAAACACAAGAACAGAGCAGCCAAGGTCAAAGTATCTTCCTTTGTAAGGGAAGGTAGGTTTTGCGCTACCTCTGTAGGGAGATCTAGCATTGCAGTTAACTTCTGAACTTCCCTCCTTCCAGTCAACCCAGGAGCGGCCGCCTGATCGGGGTGGAATGTCTAAGCCTGAGAATAGAAAAGGGAGCCCTGTCAAAAAATGTCTGATGTGCCAGGTAGAGCTGGGCAGAGCCTCCTTCAGTAGGCAGGGCCTGTGTCCTTGCTGCAATGTCAAGGCAGGAGAGGACCAGAAGAATCAGAAAGGCAAGAGGTAAGGCAGCAAGCTTAACCCCGGGGAACAAAGCAGGCGGTGAAGGAAGAGCAACACTTTATCTACTGCCCTCAGGCAGGGACCCTTGGGCTCTGCTCGTGTCCGTAACGGTGATGAGTACATGGCTGCTCCCTGTCATAAAGAACTTCTGGTTCAACTCTCACAAAAACAAAGCCCCTGGCCCTAGCCCAGGGTCAGAGGCTATGACCATGAGAACGGGAGCAGAGGTGTTGTGAAAGCAGGGAGGTGTGAAGAGGGAGGTGAAGACTGGCTCATGAATATGGGAGTCTGGTGAGGTACCGGTGGGCAGCATGGCGCCAGGGGCAAAGCAGACAGAGGGATTTGGCAAAGGGAGCAGGCGGCTGAGAGAACTGGGAGGAGAACAACAGGGTCCAGGAATGGAACAATAATAATGTCAGAGCACTGGACCAACATGAACTAGATTAGCCTCCCATGCCCCTGCTACACAACATCCCCATTTACAGAGGGGGAACCACAGGCACGAGGGAAGTGACTTGCCTGAGGTCACAACAAACCACACTCACACTGGGAGTTCCTGGCACCTCAGTCTGTGCTCCACCCACTGGGCCACACTGCTTCTGCAAATGAAAGCAGGGAGGCAGTCAGGGCTGGAGCTGTGAAGATCATGTCCAAATCGAAAGGGGGAGTTTTGGCTGACAAGGCAAAGGAGCTGAAAGCACAGTCTTTGTGGGAGGGGCGAAGGGCTTGCTGAAAGCGGACACTTGTGTTTTACTTTAAGGCATATACTGGTACAAGCCAGATCTTGCCGGGGGGATCTGTACAACTCTCTGTAGTGTTATCCCTTTGGCCTGAGTGGTTAGACAGCCCTCAGGTGCTTGCAAGCTTTCTCCATTAGGAGAAGACATCAGGGACAAAGCCACATATTTCTTTATGCACATTCTTTGTAAATAAGCAGGATTGCTTCAAGGGCCT